TATATAGACTTATATATATATACATATGTCTGCCAACGATTTTTCAAAAAACTGTATTCTGTATTTGGGAACAATTGCTCGCAAATAAAGCAAACGTTTCTAAACCACATGTCTACAAGGGTATTTAGTCTTCAGCGTGAACCGAAGACAATCGTTATTACGTGTTGTTGCTGCTGCTGCTGTTGCTGTTGGGAATCAGCTAAAAATCCAAGCAATTTGACAGATATCAAGTTGTATGGCATTTGACACACGCGTTGCGATTGTTGTCATTGCCGCCATTGTTGCACGCTGCATGCACAGAGCACAAAGACTTGAACACGGATACAAACACCCATATGGGTATGGAGATTGTAGCTTGAAGGTTGTGTGTGTGTGTGTGTGGCAGGGGGGGGGGGTCCCCTTTGATACTCTCATGTTGCGAGCGATTTTCAAGTTGCTGCCTGTCAGTGAAATGCAATTGTTTTCTGCATAGCTGTTGGCACTCAGCCTCTTGACACAATGTTCGGCAGTTTATTGATTTTGATTTTGATCCCTTTTCGTGTCACGCGCACTCAACTATTGCGAGCGCAGACCCATTTTGGCTGGCCCCGGCAACCCAATCCCCTCTCACAATGTTGCCCGACGCTGTCATCTCTGACGCGTGTTATGAATTTACTTTTCTTATTTTGTGCATCCTGTAGTCAAAGAATACCTTCAATTGGGTATTTTAGCTGCCAGTTACTATATGTCTCTTTAAAAGTATCGAAATCTTGGGCTGCAACTATCAATACTAACGAAACAATAGGATATTTAATTCCCCGATTATTTTCCGCTAAAAAGCTTACGATATGCTACCCGCCAAATAATCTTGATTTGCCACTACTTTTCGATCGACATGCAGCTCGATAGTAGCATATTTAGATGTTGCTGATATCCGAGGGGTAACCAGGGATAACATAGAAAGCCAAACGGACATTGCTCAAAGCCAGTAGAGTCTTTTCAATCTTCAAAGGACATGCAAACATTCATTTTCCTCTACGGGGTATCTGCCTAGTCGAGTGCGCGCGGTTAGAACATATTGGCTTGTTTTCCATGCAAATTGTTTTTTTTTTTTTTTTGATGACAAAAAGTTTGTTGCGGTTTGGTTTTAGCTATTGCACTTCGCTCCACAATGTTTTTGTTTCTGTTGTAGTCCAGGCGACGAAAGTTCCACCCGCTACTCGGCTCCAGTTGCAGCCCCTTGCTCTCACATGCGACAATTTGTGGTGAGAGCCAAGCAGATTTTCAATCCATTTGCCGAATTTGGCATTTGGCATTTGCCATTTGAAATTTGTGTTTGTGGCTTGCATTCAATTTAATTGCAATGCGTTCCTTAATGGATTTTAGCTGTACCAGTTTCCATTGCACACTGATTACTGGATTAACAAAGGCTGTCACGCCCAGGAACCAACTATAAAGAGCGAACTTTTCAAAGGCGTTCAAAAATGTCATTCAGCTTTGAACTTTGCACGTTGAAAATAAAAATTAAAGTTTTTCATTTTCTTTGAGAAATCAACTGCCAAAGCAAGGCAAAATTGTCGATACTTTGCAGTGTGCCCAGCACTTAATAGAAAAACACGTGCTATAGGTACTTATATAGCAGGTATATCTGTCATGTGCATGCCAAATTGTTCTCAACTTGGGTTAATTAATTGTGCAGAGTTTGTGCTTTTGTTATTAGGCCGGAGACCTACGGCATCTCTGTTTAAGTGGCCTAATATTGGGCATGTGTGTGCACATTTAATTATGCATGTATAAATATATATATATACACATAGAGTCTTTTTATATATATATATATATATAGATATATATATATATATATTTATATGTATAACAGAATTCCGGCATGCGCTTCAATTTGTCGCTTAGGCGGTGCTTGATTATGAGAATGAAATATTTGCTTTGAAGTGCACACGGATACATATAAATAGGGGTGCCATTTACTCGCTGCAAACACACACACACACAGACACACACACAATTGCAAGCAAACAGGCAGCTGTTGAAAATGTGTGCGTAACAATAAAACAACTTCATTTGCAAAATGCTCATCAACAGCATCATCATCATCTAAATAGCATCACACGCACTGCAAAAACGGAAACGGAAACGTTGAAAAAGCAATTGGCAAATGGCGCCGCTAATGTCGACTTCGACGTCGACGCCAACGCCGGACCAAACAGTTGCAATTTATTGGCAGCTGCAATTAGTTGGCCGTGCTTCCGATTTGGGCAGTCAAGGGATTTGGCAAACTTGCTTCATGCCAATTATGTTGCAAGTTGACCATTAAAATTATGACTTTACCCAAAAGCAAAGTACGTGGGGCGCCACCAAATGTCGGAATCGGAATTACCAGCTGTCCACGTTGACTGCTTCATGCCTTTTTTATTGCGTGACTGTAAAGGAACACAATTCAATCATTAAAATGTACTTTATTTTTACTCCATGATAAATACACTTTCCTTAAGCATTCTCGCAGTATGTCACAGCGATCCTAGAATATTCATTGGAGCGCGGCCTCAACTGTTTTTGGCACGAGTTAATTCCATCTTTCTCTCGAGATGCATTTTGCAAGTTGCAATAAACTAAGTTTGTTTAAGTCGAGAGTAGTCGCTTAGGAGATACCACGTTCCGAGCGTCGAGCAGTACAACTTCCATGCATAGGCATAATTAAATGTGAAATATTATTGATATGTCAATAATAGGAGAGCCTACATACCAAAATTGATGTCACTAGGTTTTATATTCATTGAGATATTCTGAAGCAAACATGTCTCAAAATCGATATTTATGGATGCTATGAAAATTCAAGCTCGATCTGTGTCTCTGACTCTCATATATCTCTTAACTTTCCAATTATAAGTTATCTAGTTTTTGTAGTGTCCGAGGTCGAGATGGACATGGTCACACCGACTAAGTTCATTTTTCTGATAGAGTATGTATACCTTATGGGGTTACATACTTTTGCCATTTTCAATTGGTTCCGAGCATGAAGAGCGCTGAAAAATGTCTTTTTTTTTGACAGATTCAAAGAAGCAAATTGGGCCAAGTCTCGCTTAAAGTAGCCAGGGCTATAAATATATAAGGCAGCCCTCGTATTGAGCTCGACTGTTGCAATAAGTTACCAAATATGGCTAGCTTAAGGATAGTACGAAGTTAATTTTGGCAGAGAATCAAGGCTAAGCTTTGACGAAATGCAAGGTCTGGCAACTAACAGATGCCCGATATGGCAACGCCTTCGCCATTGTTGCCAACTATTGGGTGGGAGGGCTGTTTCAGCTTTGATAAATGCAAATTTGCACTTTCTGTGGAAATGCAAGCGCACTAATTGCTGGCACCCAAACCGCTGGCAAACGACTCGCTGTAACCAATCCTTTGTACACTGCCACGCCCACAGCAACATCAGCAACAGAAACAGCAGCAGCAGCAGCAGCAGCACCAGCAACAATTAATTGCCATCATTTTTTAGAATCCTTTCGTACGCTTCATTTCTGCTGGCCCCGCTCGCAGCCAGTTTCAGTCCTTACCATTTCGTCTCGAGGCGCAGTTAGCTGTAATTTTCTGTATTATTTCCAGCCAAAAATTCTTTGTGCAATGCACCTACCCCCCCCCCCCCCCCCCCCCCCCCCCCCCCTTCTCCGCCCACACCCACCAGACACGCCTCCTGGTTTACGCCTTTCGTTTGCCGTGTTGTTTATTGCGTTGCAACTTCCGTTACAAACGAAGATAGATTGTTGAAATTATTTGTTTTTGTTTTGCTGTTTGTTGTTGTTAGTTGTTAGTTGTGTTGCGTTTTTCTATTTGAGTTTCGCCAGCAGCTGTTGCTACCAAAATTTCACCTCCATTACGCGGCCGCACAGTGGCAGCCCGCTATTAAAATACGTATCAAAAATTGTTGCAATTGCTAAACAATTGCTGCAACTGCCTGCTGATAATCGTGCGTGCATTAAGTAAAGCACACATAATTTCCATGGGCTTATGCGGCTGGCAATCAGCTCATAATTGAAAATGAACTGTGGATCCGAAAATAATAGAGGCTCAAAATATCGCATATTCGTGACAGATTGTTATCATTGTGCACAAGCAAGTTGGGGTCATAATCTTGTTGCCTGGCTTATTACGTGAGCTACTTTATGGAACTGCATTTTAATCTGCTTTAATGACCTTTATGTAAAGGGTATATAGAGTATAGAGTATAGAGTGGCCAATCTAGAATATTGTTATCTCTTAATACATTTTTAATTTCAAGTTTTGTGCCGTGACTGTGATCAGAAATTAACATGTTTATTAAAAGTCGATTTATTCAAAACATCAAATAAATATTCGTAAAATTCGTAAAAATATATTTAATAGGTACATTTATTCATAATGCGAATATATAAGAGGAATTTAAAAATTAATTTTTGAAGCAATCAAATTATTTTCCCAAAGGCATAAATTTCATAATCAATTGCAGCCAACATTTTGTGGCATAAAATTCCAAATATGACCGACTGTAAGTGACTATCAATTCAGAAGTCGTATGAAAGTTGCAACTATTTCCGACCTGACGATTTATGTGAGCATCCCTCGCCCCTCCCTTCTAGCTGCTAACCCCTCTCAGCTAGCCCAATGAAAGGTCTTAGCTGAATCGTTTCAATAATGTTGGCTTTGCGATTCCGTCTGTTTTGATCAATTTTTTTTTTTTTTGTTACACACACACAAACAAGTACAGAGACACATGCACACACACACGCATACACACACACACATACACACTTACAGAATAAAAACATATTAAATGATATGGATTATTATGGAAGTGTTATTCGAGCTGGCAGTGCTTTAATCTCGTACGTTGACCGTAGCGCTTTGTTTCGCGCTAATCGCTAGACGCAGTCGCATTAGAGCGAGGCCCATAAACCGTATTGACGCTGGCTGCTGATAAGATAAGGCCAGCGGATGGCTAGCCAGCGATAGCTGCAGCTGGGGCAGAATGAATGTAGCTGGCAGTCATGGAGCCAACGCGGAACGGTACGTGTCAACTGGTCGCAGTGTGCATGGCACTGATTGCCTGCTGTTGCTGCCTGAGCGCAGCGCAGCTGTTGGCACTTCCGTCCAAGGATCTGGATGAGCTGGGCGCCCAGTATCTGCCTGCTGGCTTTGGACAGGCGAACCTTACGATGGCGGATGTACAGCGTATTCTACAGCAAAAGTGCCAGGAGGCGATCGCGGAGAGGCCGGGCAGTGAGACAAATGCAACGAAACTAAGCGAGGATCTTCAGCTGGGCGCCAGCCGTTTGGGCGAGTGCATCGCCGAGCTGGCCAATATCACCGTTGTGCTCGACGAGGTGGAGAAGGCACGGCCACGTGGCGATCTCGATGTTGTCTTCGAGAAGTACTGCCTGCGCATGCCGCAGGCTCGCGCTTGCCTCTCGGAATTCAATGAGGCTCTGCTGCCCTGTCTGACGCGCGAAGAACGCCAGCACAATACCATGGTGCAGCGCATCATAGGCAAGCTGCTGGACTTTGTGTGCTACAAAAACGGCGATCAGATAGCGCTCTTCATAGCCGAACAGGGACCTGAGTGCCTGGAGCAGCACAAGGATCATGTGAGCAGCTGCTTTCAAAAGACCTTTGGTCATTATATCCCCAGCCAGCTGAACGTAACGCTGACAGATCTGCCCGAGCTGGTACTAGGGCCCCGTCAGTGTGCCGAACTGCATGAGTTCGAGGGCTGCGTGGTGCGCCACTTGGAGACATGCAGCAACATCACGCCCAGCAACATTGTCGAGTCCATGTTTCGCTATGTGCGCAAGGAGTCCAACTGCCAGCAGGTCATTGATCGCGTGACCAGGGAGCGCAGCGAGGCGCTGGGCCTGCGATCTAGCGCAGCGACTGTGACGTCGGCGACGATTGCCTTGTTGCTGGGCTTAGCCGTAATTAATGTTTAGTTAGCATTTAATCTAACCACAAGCTGTGTGCCTATTAGCCTATAGTGTAAGAGTATCTCAAGCTCGATGTCTTTTTTTTCTTTTTTTTTTTTTTTTTTTGCCCTTTAGCTTTGTGTGTATTTTATAATTATGTTTAATAAAGTCCACGCTGCGTATGCGCAATGTGTTTTTAAGCCGCTTAACGGCTTCGCTTTTAATGTCCGCCAGCAAGCTGAAAGTCCCAAAGTGTTAAGTTCCAAGCTGCATAAACACAAGTCTGAAATATGGACAGCAGGCAGCCAGCAGTAGCCAGCAGTAGCAAGCAGTAGCCAGAAGCAGCCACACTGCAGCGCTTATCGGCCAGTTAGCAGCCGGGTCAGTCGTCCGTCCACCCTGCCCTGTGTCGTTCCTTGTCCGTTGAGTTTGCTGACTGGGCCGGTGTCTTATCAGCGACTCGCTAGCAAAACAATGAGAATGGGTCATAGAGGTCATAGACACGGACAGGGATATGACTGAAACAGCAGTAGTAGCTGCAGCAGCTGCGAGCAGCTTGGGAAATTTGAAAAGGTTTAGCCAAGCGAGCCGCACTTTGGACTTTGACCAGCTCATCAGTCTGGCAGGCAAATTGATTTGGCAGCTAAGCCAAGCCCCAGCTAGCCGGCCCAAAGATTACCTCAAATGACGTTGTTCCGGTTCCCTTCCCACTCGTAAATCATAAAAAAATGCGCATAAATCTAAGCGAAAGCGGCGAAAAGAAAAGAAAAGCGCAACTGTCATCGTTTCTCCAGGCGACAAAAAGACAACTGCTGTACAGAAAAGTTCAATACTTGTGGCTGGTCGATGACATCTTTGGGTCTTGGGCATTTGGAAGCAGTCGAAGCGTGAAATGAATGGAGTTTTTCTTGGCTTAGTTCAGTTTATCGACGCCCAGTTTTACTCATTTAACTGGAACGGGAATTAAATGGTTTGGTACGGCATGAAATGAAATGAAATGAAATGGAATGGGCTGCTATTGATGAGAAATTTCTCCTAAAGTTTATTGTTGGCACAACTTTTTAACTTTAGAATGCAATAGAATGAAACGGAATGGAATTGTATGAACAAATGGGATAGATGTCTATTACTTCAATGTTAAATTCAACTGTTGAGCTTGATATCGGTAAATGCTGGCATGGATGGAATGGAATATATTTGGCTTACGATAGGCGCTTCTGCATGTTGTTATCAGATGGAATGAAATGAAATGGAATGGGCCGCTATTGAATTTCTGTTTAGGCATATTGTTGAGCTTTAAATTCCAAAGTTTTGAGATGAGAATAGGTTTGGACTGAAAGGGAACGGAATCGAATCAGTGAATTATTGGGGAGCCACTAGTAGGGATTACAATATTTTCATTTGGCTTACCATGGGTGTTATCAAGTGGTATGAAACGAAATGGAAAGACTTAAAATGGAATTATTAAAAGGCAAATAATCATTTCCTAAATAGAGTTAAATGGGGTGGAATACAAAAAAATGAGTTGCGATTAATTAGTTAGAATGATAGCTTTTCCGCTTGCCTTATGATGGCTGCAAACTTTGTGACTGCAAATTGTTAGCGGGCGAAATGGAATGAAATGAAATGGAATTGTTAAAGTAACGAATTGCACTACCGAAGTGAATTCAGTTTACTTAGTCATATTCTATATATTTCATTTCGCATTAGCTTAGAGCGTGGAGCGTCAGCAATCAGCAATCGCAATCAGGAAAGGTTGGCGGAGCGGAAGTTGGGTGGGGCCAAGCTGCAACTGTTTCCTCAGTTGGTTAGTTAGTCAACTGTTTGGAGCCCAGCTAACAAGTCATAAATGTTGCAAACTTAATTAGGCTTGTCTGTGTCAGTTCTCAGTTCTTAGTTCTCATTTCCCAGCTCCGTGCTCCGAGTTCCCAGTTCGCAGTTCTCTGTGGCCAGTTGGAGCAGCTGGCAGGACCATTCATGTTTTTCCAATGGCCATTGGCAGTGGGTAACGGGTGCAGGCACTTTATTATTGATGTGAAAAATGCGGAAAATGAATGCGTTTCCGGTACTTTTGGCGAGTTGGCAGCTAAATTGCAGCGGCCATGAATCATTCGACTTCGACTACGACTTCAACTTCTACTTCAACTCCGCATTCACCGAGCAGACAAACTTTGTACGTGCCACGCGAGCAGTTGCCAGCCAAAACTCAAGTAAACTGGGGAAAAAGCTGAGCAAAAGGCAGACTGTGCTGCTGTTAGCAGCTGCAAGAAGTGGGGTCAGAGGCTGAGTTGTCACAAAACTTGGCTGGACAAATAATTGCACGTCATTGGCAAAATTATTGGGTCTGCATGGAGATGGGGCAGAAAACAAGCCGATAAGAGAGACTAAAATGCAACGAAAAGAAACTACATATGAATAAAATGAATAAACGAATGCAATTCTTACGGGTGTTGCCAAAATGTAATTAAATATTACACTTTGCCGGCAAAAGCAGCTGCAACTAACTCTAATTGTGCACGCATTAGAGACACCGACACAGGCAGAGCGAGCAGAGAGAGTGTGCAGGTAAAACTGTGGACATGAAATGGGAACGGGAGTAGGAATGGCAATGGGAATGGGATTGGGACAGGCACTTCAACTGGGACTAAGCTGATGGCACCTGAGGCATTTGCGGCGTCTGGTGTCCCACGCTTCAACGCTCATTTGCAAATGTTTGTCTACGTGTGCGGTGTGAAATGCGCGCTGCGTTGGCTGCGGCGCCATGTTTGCGTATCAGTGTGTGTGTGTGCCAGTCCAGACTGGGTGCGAAAAGGGGAAAGTCCCCGCCCGCTGGGAAATTTCAGCGAAAGCGCGACTGGCAAATTGACAGTTTCTTAACCTAGGTTTCGCACCCAACACCAGAAGATGGCAACTATCTGTAAATGTTAAAAGGAAAAACTTGATACCTACATAAGATAATGAAGCTGTATTCGATGTATTGTCAAGGCGTATATATACTTTAATTGAGAATATATATATATATATGATAATGGAGTCCCACTAATTTACATATATATATATGTAAATTAGTGGTTCAATCCCAGTAAAATTCTACTTATATTGCTGAAGCTTGTGTTATCTCACATTTAGTTACAACGGCAATAAAGTGGCCTTTATTATATAATGCATTAACGAACGTATTTATGGAAGATATCAAATATTTCGTGCACGCTGTGTAGGCAAATAAAATAGTTGATATTAATATTGAAAAACTTATCGCATTCACTTGTGCTAGTCAATAATTGCCATAACACTCGAGTGTCTAATTATTCCAATTATAGTTATAATTCTATTTTTTTATTGTTATTACAAATATTATTTTTGCTGCTCTAACTATTACTATTGTATTACTATTTACAGCATAGTTTATAGCTGTAAATAGCAGTGGCAACAATTGTCTCCGGCTTAAACAATAACACATCCATACACTCGCCTGGGATTGGGACGCGTAGAGCACAAAATCCTTGTTATTTACTTGCCTAAATGACTGGGTCAATCAGACAGGGCAACCGAGAGCTTATTCTATATCATAAATTAAAATAAAAACTTCTATCTAAATTCAAGTCTGGCATCTCAGTGCATACAATGGACACATCAAAGCTGTTAGTGATCAGAATTCAAACTCAATTTACGTATTTTATTGGTCAATTCAATTCATGCTTTGCGTTCTGGGTGTCCCATATGCCACTTGCCCCGACTTGTCTTTCGCCTCGCTGCACGTCGCACCCTTCAACTTTGTTACATTTCGAGTGTGTGCCTGGGCATGTGTGTGTGTGAGTCAGCGCCTTTGTCTGTGTTCGTGTCCGTGTGAACCGACATGCGTGCACATGTTGGTTTTACACATGAGTGTGTACATTGTGTATGTGTGTGTGTGTGTGTGTGTGTGTGTGTGTGTGTGTGTTTTGCCAGAGTGTTTGTACGTAAGCTGATGTCTTTGTGCGTGTGTGTGTGAGCGGCCATATTTGGCATCCACAAAGTACGTATACTTTGGGGTCTAATTTGCGGTTGCTGGCGCAGCTCAATTTACAAGTGAGAAATTAAGATGTCGACAAAACTTTCGCCCAAACACCTCAACAGCGACGTGCGCATACACACACGCACCCACCCACGCACGCACATAGTTCTCGCTTGGTTTTTTTCTTTCTTTTTTTTTGATAGCGCTTTTAGTGGAGCATATAAACCGCAAAGTCTCAGCTTGCCACAAAGTCTCAGTGTTATTGCCACAGCAACCAATGCACTTTGCAACTTCTGCTTTTCCTCTTTCGTGTTGTCGAATCGCGCTGGAACAGAAAAATGCAGACGCGGCGGGCAATCGTAGCATCGGTCAGTTGGCCATGCTACACATATACATGCACACACAGACATGCCAAACATGCATGCTCACACATGCATGCTCACACATGCATGCTCACACACACGCTCACACATACATGCACACACACTCTCACACATTAAAATTGCATCTGTTTGTAGTTTCAAAAAACATTTAATTGTGTTAAGTTTACAAAAGTATTTCAAAAGCAAAGTTGTCTCAAATGAATTGTTGCCAGGCCAACGCGCAGTCAAGAAATCCAGGAGCCAGAAGCTATCAAGTCCACACCACAATACAAGCCATTACAGCACTCCACTTTAACTGTTTACTACGTTGTGCATGAACAATTAGTCATTTTCTTTATAGTAATTGCACATACATACTCGTAATTATAATGATCTTTAACAACAATGAGCTCATTTCGGGGGATTTAATTATTGGTTTAAGTTTCTTTCTCTATAAGTTTAATTTTTCCACCCATTTTCAGAGTTTCACGCGTTTTCCGACCCTGCGAGTGAATTTTCGAAATCGCTAAAACCAGTTCTTTTTATTTTCTGTTCACTCTGTTTTTACGTTTAAGTTTAAGGAAAGTCTGACAAAATTTGATTTGGGCTTTGCATACATTTTCCTTTCCCAACTATTTTCCCAAAGATTATCGAAATGACTTCGGACTCAGATCGGATGATGAAAGGTTTCACAAAGCGAGAAAAACGACCAATTAATTTTCCGCAAATTCAGTCGGAGTTTTATACAAATCCTTGCACTGTTTATTCCATATTTGCTTTCAGC